GACAGCCTGCCTCACCATAGTCTGCACCACAGGCTGCAGGGGAATCTGCTCCTGCACCTCAAGCACCTCCTCCCCCTCCTTCTGCACTGACCTTGGTGTCTGCAGAGTTGTTTCTCTCACATCTTCTCACTCCTCTCGCTCCAGCTGCAAAATGTGTTGCCTTTTTCTCACTCCTCTCTCTCTAACTGCAAAGTGTGCATCTTTTTTTTCCTCTCTTCCCTTTTTTTTTCTTAATTATGTTATCACAGAGGCGTTACTGATTGGCTCAGCCTTGGCCTGTGGTAGGTCCGTTCATGGAGCCGGCTGGCATGGCATTGGCAGTGTCGGACATGGGAGAAGCTTTTGGCAGCTTCTCTTACAGAAGCCACCCCTATGTGTCCCCCTGTGCTACCAAAACCTTGCCACGCAAACCCAATACAGCTTCCCATATTCTTCCTTGCTACTTCTGTCTTAATGAGATGCATTTCAGTATCTAAAGAGTGTTTGTTTTACAGTTTTTGCACAGAAAGCTCAAAGACCTGAGAATCTCTATATCCCTAGAGGAAGGGTTAAGAAAGGTAAGTCAGAAGTTTACCCTGAAAATCTTCCCAGTAATCCAAAAGCAGATCTGCTGAGGTAGCTTCATTTGTGTGAAACGTGACAGAATAGTGCTGGGGTTGGGGTGCAACAGTGCAAGGTGCTGGGGCTAATAGTCATATGAATGGCCCAACCTTTCTGACCTTATGTGACATAGGAAATTTTTTAGAACTGCAGATTGTGAGGGGGGTACCCTTTCATCACATACTGTACATATCCCCTGTCATGGAATTTATCTTCAGTCAGAATTATAATGATCATTGAAGTCCTTTTTTATCTTGTGACCCATATTATTTTGTGGAGGTGATGGCCTACTTTTGATCTCCTGGATATAGCCACTGCCTGTTGATCATTATTTCCTGGGATTTAACCTTTAGTGAACTGCTTGCCATTGATCTCTGCACTTCCAAAACTGTGCTCTTATTCTGTGCACTATCAGAGTGCCAGGAACCACACCTGAGCTTTTTATCTCATGTGTCAAAAACTCTTTGTGTTGCAAATGAGTTACAAAGCGCCAGCACCAGCAGGATGAGTTTTCACCTTTCTGTGTCTGGAGTTACACTGCACACATCACCTAGGAAGAGTCTTATCTTTGTGACTGCCAGAGTGAAAGCTCTGTTTTGTGGATTGCTGAGGAGAGCGATATTTTTGCAGTGAGGAAGCAGAGCACTTTAAGGAGTACATTTTGTGCTGCTCACTTAAATTATATTTTTAAGAACAGCTATTATCTCTGGGACATATTTGCGTACAAGGCTACCCCTCAGCTGGGCTTTTAGCCCTAACAAATAGCAGGATGGCATAAGGACAAAACACTCTTCTTGTTAGAGAAACATTCAGTCTGTAATACTGATTTTTTTACATCTCTGCTGTATCAAGGGTGCTTGAGTTTCTTTGTATTCAATGAGGAGGGTAGATGCCACAAGTTCAATAATATTTTTGGTGTTCTCTCTTCAGAGACAATAGTCAGGCCTGTAAGGGACCTGTCTCAATCAAGCATATATGATCCATTTGCTGGAATGAAAACCCCAGGTCAACGGCAGCTGATTACATTACAAGAGCAAGTGAAAATGGGCATACTCACCGTTGATGAAGCTGTACTTCATTTTAAGGAATGGCAACTGAACCAGAAAAAGAGATCAGAATCATTCCGGTTCCAGCAGGTACAGGCTTATTCCACTCTTCAAGAAATACAGCTGTCTCTCTAAGTACATATCACAAGCTGTTCAGTGTGGGTACGTTTCTTTCCTGGTTGGAGTAGGAAGTCCCCCAGCAAGCTGAGTTCTCTCCTGGCATGGAGAAGCTGTTCCCATGCAGCAGCAAGCAGGCAGCAGTTTTTCAGATCTGTTTGTCTTGCAGTAGTATTGTTAGGTTTTGGAGATCTCTGTACACTAGGAATTGGGCCAAATCCATTTGGATAAATTACCTTTCTAGAGGTCACCTATCGCCCACCTCCTGGCAGGGGACTTCTGTGGTGAAAGTTTAGCTTGTCAGTTCTCATCCATTTCAGATCAGTGAAGATTCAGTGTCCCAGGTGATGTATTTGCTTTAAAGTCCTATCTTGTAGATGGTCTGATCCCTCCCTGGGTGTTTGATGGCTCCAGGACTACATGTTCTTTGCAGCTGGGCAAGATTTAGTGATAGTCATTAGTGGAAGCACAGTGTTTGGGTGGCCTGGCTGAATGAGGGAGCCATTATGTTGGCAGCAGCAACATAATGACTGGTGGAACTAGCAGTCATAGTTTAAAATTTCCATTCTTAAGTTAGAGTGGGGCTCCCTCTATAAAACCACTACCTGCTTCTTTTGGTGCCTTTTGTTTGTGCTGTGGCAATCTGCTCTTACGCTTAAGGTGCTGGTCTCTGGTATGTGACACTGTTTTGGGAGCTGTCAGAACAAAGCCAAGACTTTCCTCCTCATTTGGAAGAGTCCTCCCTACCCAGAAACAGCCAGAGGAATCCTTTCTTCTGTCAATAAAGAACACAGTGCTGCTTTAGTAGATCTCTGTAGCAGAAATGAAGTGGCATGCTCTGTGCCCCATCCCATGAGCAGCTTTCAAAGTCTCTGCTCCAGACCTTGCCTCATGGTACAGCAATTGCTCCATCTGCTTTCCTGCCAATTCAGGGGTGCATGTATTTCCCTGCTGGAAAAGTTGTCTTTTTTTTAAATTTTTTTTTTGACTCCACACTTTTCCTTACTGTAAGGTGCAGTATGCTGACACACAATGATAAAAAGACTTTGCTCCCAGTTACGTTTCCAGGTGTCCCCTCTTGCTTCAGTAGGGACAACCTGAATTCTTTCTGAATTGTCCCTCAGACTCTAGGATGCATGGCAGCCTCCTCTCTCCCTGCAGTAAGAATTATCTGTTCATTAGTACAGAAAGGACTGCAGTTACTTGATCAGGGGTCTTGTTTCTGTGTCAGCGACACAGTGGAAACAGAAGAGGGAGTTCTAAATGAAATGTGCTGCTTATCTGCAACTGGCAGTGAGTCTGTGAACTTGATCTTAAAGTACACAATGAAGATCTGAAAAAACTTGGCTTCTGAAAGGCATGCATGGATTTCTGAAGGGAATAGATTAAAACCTGTTGACATGGTTTGGACTTCAGCCAGGTCTAGTAGGCTTTGTTACAGCTTGATTGCGAAGTTAGCTGAAATATAATATTGGTATTGTTAGAAAGCTGCTCATCCTCCTTTATCCAAAGCCCTGACAATATCTTGTGATGTTTTTAGGAAAATCTGAAACGGCTACGAGACAGCATAACCAGGAGGCAAATGGAGAAGCAAAAAAAAGACAAAAGTGCAGGTAACAGTCTCTGATTCTGACATCTCTGGTAATGAAGCAGCTAACAATATTAATAGGCTCTTCAGACAGAAATCTCTGTGTGTTTTGCAGTTATGTGTTATTTTAATATTCACATCTATGTGCCTGTTGGCTAAAACATAGGAAAGTTGCTTTACTCCTCAATTTCGCAGACTGAGGAAAGGATGCCCACATCTGTGGAGTGAATCTTGATTCATAAATGGACAGTTATGATCACCCTTATGTGATTGTGTTTAACTTTGTTCTCAGATGCAAAGCTGTGTCTCAAAGGCTATACTTGCACAGATCCTTCTGAGCTGCTCATTTTCCCTTCCAGACTTGGAAATTACAGTACCCATTCGACATTCTCATAATACTTTGGGGAAACCGGAATGTGGAATATATGAATACGCCCCCAGGAAAAATGTTTTCCCACCAAAAAAGGAGTTAAAGCGAGGAGACTGGAAAACAGAAAGCACGTCCAGCACAGCAAGTAAGCAAACCCTGAACATCACCCTCTCTACAGGAAAGCTGGATGGAAAGCACTTCCCCAGCCTGACTCTGGAGTTAGCTCAGGGGACAGGACTTATGTTCCTGAATCCCAGTACTGACACTGCTACTCCAAGCCCTGCACACCTCAGGCTGACTGTTCTCAAAACTGTAAAAGCAACTCCAGGTACATCATGTGGTTTGGGCATCTTGTGTCTGCATCTCTGCAGGAAGAGAACCTGAAAGCTGAGAGAAAGATGCCCTTGAGCCTTCTCAGGGAAGGCATATCACCTGTCTTCAGTTCTTGAAAGTAGATGGCAGCGGCTATCTTGGAAAAAAGGATGCTCCCTTGCTGTGACTCTCAGCAGGCAGTGTTCTCTTCTGGTCTGAAGGGCATAGTTATATTGCAGGCTGGGAACCAGTCTCTACATGTTGTTTCCTCAATTATTGTCGTTAAAGGACAGCGTTTTTCATTGGTAGCTGTGGGACTTCTTGAGTGACTTGGACAGTCTGCACATTTTTATTATCTTTGTTTATTAAGTTTAATTTGTGCAAATTAAATTCCTGTATTCTCATTATTACCACAGACTGAGCAATTCTTGCAGAAATCATTAAGATCATTTTGGTCCTCTGAAAGGAAAACTGAGTCCCAGTGGGGTTACTACCTTTGTGGCTCTTGGCAAGATATAGCTGGGATATATCCAGAGTAGGTGCCAGAGGCAGCAGAGTTCACTGTGTGCAGCTTGGCTCTCTCCCATGGCATGATTGTCAGAAGGGACCCTAACACAGTATTTAGCACTCTTAAATGCTGCTGTTTGTACCAGCTGATAAGGAGAGTTACCTCACCAGGGATAGGGAGGAACTGCATCTTATGAGAAAACCTCTCTAGCCTCATTTCAAAGTATAGGTTTCTGAACATTAGTGTCCCAGTACTGCACAGTCCTATAGAATGTTATGCATTTATGACTGAAACCAGCCATAGCAGTGTAGGATATGTTTGTGAGTTGCTGTCTCCTTCAGAGATGACATGACTGGTTGCAAAAGCATTCCCTGGCAGTCTATGCAAGTTAAATGGGTTTGCATAAATGGTTGCTGAAGATTGTTTGAACAGACTTGTCATTTTTATCTCTGAAATAAACTAGGAAACATTCCTGTGATGAGAAAGGATTGTTGTGAGAAGAGGTGGTGAACAGCTGTTGGGAACAATAACCTCTCAAGCAGTCACTTATTCCAGGAGTGAATGTGTCACAGTGCTCAGAGCCATCTGCCTCCATGCAGTTGTTAAGGACATGGGGACTGATAATTTAAATATACATAAATGTTGAGTGTGTAACACTTGTGAAAATATTTACCTGGTTTGCCAGCTGATACTGGCACTGGATCCTTTCAGTTAGATTATGGTTGTGAGTACTTAACCAGAAGCCTGGACCTCGATAGGGCAGAAATCTGCTAGAAAGAAAGCGAAAATGAATGGTTTGGCCCTGTAGTCTGTGTCCTATGAAATACCATTGTTTGGATCTTGAACATGTGAAAAATAACAGCAAAAATAAATTAATCTAAACAAGCATTAAATGATGTGTGCAAGAGGTAAGCAAGAGGTTAGAAGGAGTCCCAAGTTAGTGATTTGCAGTTAGATCATCAGGATTTAATAATCAGTTTGTTTTCTCTTGCTTACTCACTCCAGGTAGTGCAAGTAACCGCTCCAGCACTCGGAGCATATTGAGTGTCAGCAGTGGGATGGAAGGGGACAGTGAGGTAAGCTCTCACCTCTGCTATGTTCTGGTCCGCTGTTCTTAAGTACATTGCTTTGTTTTCATGCAAAAGAAAAGGAGCTCAGGGATGACACTGCATTTGCAGAAATGGCGAAACGCACTCACTTCTGCTGTGAAGCTAGCAAGAACCAAATTCTGCTGGTCTGCAACCTCTCTTCTTCATTTTGTAGGACAATGAAGTCCCAGAAACAACTAGAAGCCGCAGCCCAGTTGGCCATCAAGCAGAGAGGCTGCCTTTCCCAGAAAGGCCTCCCAGAGTGCCTCCTCGAGGTGCAAGCAGGTAAAGCTGAAATGCAACTCAGACGTGAGCTTTCAGTGAATCAATACGGAAGCCTTGGGCAGAAAGCAAGGCAGGAAGCAAATGTGTCTTTCAACAAAATCTACCAAACTATTATCTATACACACACACTGTTAAGAATTGTAAAATCCTTGTTTGTCATCTGTAATATTTGGTGGAATTGGTTTCCTAGTTGGTAAAGTGCCTATTGCAATGCTGTTGCTGCAGTTCACACCCTGCAAGGGGCAGTGCTATTGAAGCACACAATGCTTGCCATAAGACTGACACAGGTGGAGTAGCATCCTGCCCCTAGCAGAGATTTAGTACCTGATCCTCCCAAGAAGATCCTTTTGGCACACAGAAAGTGTAGTGTAGAGGGAATTCCCTTTTGGCATTCCCTTGGACTTCTTTTCTTTTTACAAATTTCAGATCCCTCCAAAGCACAGTTGTTTACATGTATGATTGACCTCAAATTAATAACTGCAGTGTTTTTTTATAAAAGGTGTTGAGGGGTTTTGCCTTGATTTGATCAGACCACCGTGAGCTTAAGTAACTTGTAAATATTCCTTTGGTCCCACCAGTTTAGGTCCATGAAGTCCAGGCCCCAGAGGCTTATCTAAGTACAGATGTTAATAAAATTCTACAGCTGTTAAAATAGTAATTACTAATGTGTGGGTGCAATAAGTTCTGGATGTTGGCTTGGCTCTGGCAAGAATATATCTGGAATTTATCTGTAGTTACTTTAAAAAAAAGATTTTTAATTTTTTATCTGTTCCTGTTGCTCTTGATCTGATTTACAGGAGTAAGCTACTATACTATCAAAGTTTTACTCCAACCAAGTATTATAGCAAGTCTTTCCACTAATAGAATTACTGCAGCTGAAGAGCAGAAGAAAGAACTTGGACAGGAACAGGGCTCCAGCACCTTGGCATCTGTTCTGCTGCTGAATCACTGATAGCTTGTTTTTCTTCTTGTATGACTATTGCTTGTACAGTATTCTTAGATAAGATGTTATTGCATGGAATGTGTTGTTCCAGAACCCTATTATCTACTGGTTTTTTGAATGCACTTGTTTTCTCTATTTTTTTACAGGCCTGTAAGCTGTGAAGGCTTTTATCCTCCACCTGTGCCCCCAAGAGGTCGCTGAATCTACATCTGTGGAATATGAGATTTTTGTGTTTGTATATGCGTTTGTACAGATATTTTTAGTTGTTTTAAATTATTTATAAGTGGGAGCCAAATGTTTTCTTCCCCTTCCTCCTCCCTAAAGCTCTGGTGACTTTTCCCATGATTTTCACTGAGACTTCTTGGCCTTCTGTAACTTTTTTGCTTGGAAGAATTTTGGTGCTTTGGGAGTTCAAGACAAAGTATCAAGGCTGGGAAGGAGAACGCTGATGCGTGTCTTGGCAGCCCTGCAACATGAAGTTTCCCTTTGCCCAAGAAAAAAACTCCTGTTGTTTTAGAAACTAAATCCTGATAATCATTGTTACCAAAGCCCTATGAGGGCTTGACTGGAAAACATGCTTGAAAAAGTAAAGAAAATAAGTTGTTTGAAGACTTTGTTTGAAGAACACTCATTACAGCAGGAGCAGGTGAATATACTGCTGTTTGGTGTGACACTGGACATACTGACCTTTCAGAAGGTGTAGAATCGCCCTCCAGCAATCATTAAACCACTGGAGGATAAGAAGTTGTCTTTATTCAAGAATGTATTTTGCAGACAGCCTTGAAAACACCTTTCCCTTTCCCCTTCCCTCTGTGAACAGGAGAGACATTAACAAGGTGGTGTGTGTACTGCATTTAGCATGAAAATTCCAAAGGCGCAGCTGATGTGGGACCTGATTTGTGCTGTATCACAAAACAACTGTACTTAAAACTTTTTTTGGGAAGGAGGTGGGTATGTTGTTACTTGAGATCAGATGACTGACCTCTTAAATTAGAGGAAGGAATTGTCGGCGATGCTGTGTTCTGTATCTCTCACGTGTGTTTGTTATAGAAGCAATATGAAGGTGTTGCACTTCATGCTCTGGAACAGTATAGCGAGTCTCCAATTATAAATGCACACACCTCACAAATACCAGCTGTGTAGCTGGCCTGCTGCAGTGGAAACAGGCAGCCTGGGGGCTGCCCTCTGCTTGCTGTACTCTTCCTTTCTAGCCATGCGAATCTGCAATAGCTGTGTCCAGCCTTTTTTCTGCCTGAGGGCTTACAAACTTGAGGAGAGCTTCCTGCTTTGGCTCTCTGTGTTCCAAATGTAGAAAGCATGTAAAGCAGAAATTAATTCTGATTCCTCATCTCAAGGGACTCAAATGATGGAAGTGAGATGTTTTGGGGGGTTTTTTCTTTTTATTTTTTTCTTCCAGACCTTGCAGTCTTCTTTGCATATCCTGGCCCTGGGGGTACAAGTATAAGGCTCTGGTTGTCCATGAGTGATATGGATGGGAATTCTGCAAGGTAACATTCAGGGCAGAGACTTAGGCATCCTTATCTACTGGGTTTTCAAGCCATTCTCCCTCTTCCAGCCCTGAGAGAGACATAGATAGATCTGTATTAGGTGATCCCTCAGGTACAGGTAGGACACATAAAGCTTCTGTCTGGTCATGTAGGCTCCCCTTAATCTGTAAGAGAGCAGGTGATGGAGTTGCAGCTCCTTTCTCTTGCAGAGTGACAAATGTGCGGAGCTGCAGGAGTGACAGACAGCGACTGTGACTCAACCAGCACTGAATGAAGGTGGTCAAGCCCTGCTGTTCTCAGGGGCATAGGCTTAAGCTAAGTATCGTCTGCACCTTAAATTCATAAGGTATGACTCCAGATACAGGTCGTATAGCCTCTCCTTTTGATGACAGAGGGCTGCAGGTGTTGTGCTGCAGACCTGTATCTACAGAGGTGATTCCCCCCCCCCCTTTTTTTTTTTCCTATTTTAAAGGACCTTAGTGCCTTCTCCAGTAATTCTGACATTACAGGCTCTCACTGACAGTTTGCTCCTTCTTCACAGTAGCCAGGGGAATGGTGAGGTGGGAACTGCCTTCTGTTCTTGGAACAGAACCAAATTCCTGGCACTATTCAGTCAAACTGGAAGCAGAGAAGGAGGTTTTGGTGCTAAAATGAGCAAAATAGTAGCATGGATAAATGAAGGAAACAGGGATAAAATAAATAAAGTAAAAGGGGAAATTCAACAGCTTGTCTTCAGCTGTCTCACATGTTTTGGTTTACACACAGTTCCCTGGTTTTGCTCAAATGTTGACCATGTCTGTAGTGCTGGCTGCAGATCTGCTCCAGAGCTTGGAGCTATAATATGGTAAGAGGAATTTATCTGCTTCCACATCTGCCAGATGTAGGATGTGGGGTAAACTGTAACAAGGCAGGAAGGGAAGAGAAAAATATGAAAGTGTGTCATGCAGGTGATTTCCTTTCAAAGCTGTTGGACTGAAGCAGCCCAGGGATCCCTCTTCCCCAGATAATTTTTAATTCTGCACCCCCTGCATGTGATAGCCAAATGTCTTCTGTGGGAGGGGTTTCTGAACTGTATCTGAACATTTGCCTTTGCACAATCCTAATAACATGGCTCTGAACTGGATTTTTATTGTTAGTACTGCAGTGAGATGGTTTATATCTGAATTGCTGAAAAGCAGCTTGTAAGTAGCATTTCAGTCCCTCTCCTGTTGCAGCTTCGATACATCCTTAGTCTGCCCTGACCTGTCATACAAAAACAAATGCTAGTGGGGCTCTTGCCTTGGACAGGTGGGAGTCTGCTCAGGCCCCTTCTGCACTGCATAAGAGGGGGAAATGGAAGATGCAGCTGGTAGTCTCAGGCATTCCCTTCTTGGTTTCTTTGTAAATTATCCTGGATTAATTAGGTATCTCACTGATCAATCACAGCAAAACTATCACACTATCAAGGAGAAAAGGAACAGCACTAAAATGGCTTCACTGTTGAAGGCAGGTAAACAATTGGGATGCAGGCATGACTTTCATGTCTCTTGCAGGCCAGCAGAGATGCATCTTCTTAGCTACCAAAACGTGTGTTCCATGTTGTTTTGGCTTCATTTAGTTGCTTTAATCCTCTGATGTCTCAATGTATGGAGTCCTTGTATGTGTAGACTCCAGTTGTGATGGAGAGCATGTGGTGTGTATTGCTTCCCACTAAGATGAGAAGTGCACTGAAACTGAACCTCAGAAGAGCCTGGAGAAGAAAACTGCATGCATACAGATTGTTGGTTACTCAGGAATATGCTTGGGGGGGAAAACAGGAATGAAGTGTGTTTCTGTCGAACTTTAGAACTCAGGGACTGAACAGATAATAAAATTGCTGGTACAAAGTAAAATGGCCTGGCCACTTGTAGGGCCATCAACCAGTCTACCAAGCTCAGGCGGCAGCTGGCTGGCCCAGGGAGAGTGTTTGGTCTTTGTGCAGCGTGCCTCACAAAACCTGCTGCAGCAGATGGCTCTGGCTGGCCCTGTTGTTGACTGAGAGACTTAAGTGCTGAAGATGCTGAAGCCTCTTCTCTCTGTCTCCCAAGGGTAAGCTACTCTGTTCTGGACTGAGATGCAACAACTAGAAAGAAACATATGGTGTTATCAAAGCTGTCTAGTTTTGGTTTAGTTTTGTTTGTTTGTTTGTTTTGTTTTTTTAATATAAACAGAGGTTTTGAATTTTTTTTTTTAAGTATCTCTCTCTACAGGGACCTTGTGACTACTGAAAAGAGGCAGTTTCCTATCTGGAAAAGGCTTCATATAAACATAACTTGCTGAAATATGTTCAGGGAAGGTAGATTGATGTGTAGACCACAAGGGGTAAAGCTTTTTAGTATAGATATGGTGGTCAGTGGTAAACAGGAAAATGTTTTCACATAATTCCTACAAAGCACGTATAGCAGGTGCCAGCAGGGAGCTCATCACTGGCGTATTTGTTGGCTTGTGCAGTTATTTGAGAAGATGGTGTAGCCCCTCTGTTTTTTTTTTTTTGGGGGGGGGGTGGTAATATTATGTTTGATAGCCTCTGAAAATTATTTCTGTATTCAGTTTAAAAATTGCCCATCAATGAGCGTGTAATCCCGTGAGCTTTTTGGCTGGGAGGGTTGGGATTTTTTTTTTATTTCGGAGCTGTAGCTTGAGCTGGTTCCAAGTCCACACGCAGGTCTGCGGGCTTTTTCCCGGGCAGTGCTGACAGAAAGATCACCGCTCGTTATGTCTGGGGGCGCTT